AAAACACACTTTTAAAGCCTTGCTTCTTGTTAGCAAGCTTTGTTGCATGCTTTAACAACAGTTGCAAACTTTACAAATGATCATCCTATTAATACCAAAAAAATCTCTTTGAGTTTTGCCATTTTTACCCTTAGGAACATCTACAGGAGAATGTTTTTGGTAGAAAATTATTACTGTGTGATTGTGTACCATGATAATTTGACTTAAATTAGAAATTTACATTTTTTAGCACTTCTAAGGCTAAATCTAATCAGATATTTCTTCTGTGAAGAGTTGCATATGTTAGAGTGAATATTTCTGTAACTGGTTGTATCCTTTGAACATTGAAATTCATAGCTAATTTATTTTTCAGCTACCATTGAGTTCTTGAAATTTGTCGTATGTACTTGTGCGGCCAGTTATGATCATTTTTCTCTGTTTTAGGAGACCAACTCATATATTTATATGTATATATTAATTTATGCTTAAACATTTAATATACATATATTGCATATACCGCACCTCCAAATAAAACACACCTTTTTCTGGAAGCCAGAAAAACAATTCTTCTCCACTAGGAAGTTCCTTTTGTCTGCTGCCTTGTCCAGACTCTCTGCTAGGCTGCCACACTTCCTGGACACCATATGTTTCTAGGAGAACTTCATGCGTGGATTTATACATGATGCTACATTGCTGTAGTGATGAGCTATGGCAACATAGCGACCAGATGTGTCTACATGTGACCAGCAGCTACTTCGCTGTAGTGGTGCGCGTTCTTGTTATAGCATGCTGCTACGGCAAAGTAGCAGCTCAAAATAACCAAGTGCCCAGCTTATGGTGCAGTACAAGCTGCTACTGAGCTGTGCTTTAGTAATTCCTTTTAGAAGTACTTGCTTTTGGAAGTACTAAAGCATGGTGCATTAGCAATGTCGTCATATGGGCACGTGTAGATGCACCCTATGTCTCACAAAGTTAGGACTAGATCCTTGCAGGGGCAATAGAAAGACCATTAGCTGTTTACTGGAAGTAGTCTTTATATACATTCATATAAATAAAGTGTTGTTTCTGCATCACAAACCTCATCAAGATACTACCAGCAACTCACTTGTCATAGGTGGAGGAAGAAAAACAAAGTGGAGGGGCTGTGTGTGCCCCCTGGCAGAAAAGTCTGTGGGGGATGGGGTGGGGGGGGTAGGAGAAAGGGCTGTTGGGATGGAGGGAGTGGTGCTGGGACCAGGCAGGGATCAGGAGGGAGAGAAGCCGAGTCTGGACCAGGATTGGGGCAGGGGCCTGCTGTGCCCATCCCTTCCCCTGAGCCCGGGGTCGCTGCCTGGCACTGGTGCCCACTGCAAATCCACTGCTCCCCAGCCCCACACTGGCCCCAGCTGCCTCCCCACACTGCCCCAGGTCCGCACTGCCTGGGGGGCCGGGGGCTGGTGCAGGGCCAGCATGAGCTGTGCTGCTGGGCCAGGGGGGACAGAGCCCCTGGGACTCCTGCCCCTGCCCTGTCCCACTCCAAGTCATCCCCAGAGAGAGAGCCTAGTCCAACCCTGGCCCTAGCCCCAGCCTGCAGTGACAGCCCACCCTGCCCCACACAAATCTGAGGGCACACATCCTCCCCGTTCCTCCCAGGGAGCAGCAGGAGCTGTGCCTCCTGGATGAGCTGCTCGTGGTTCAATCCCATGCCCACTGTCTGTGCAGGTCCTGCCCCTCCCTTAGCCGCAGCCCCAGCTCCACTCTCTCCACACCCCTGCTGCAGCCGCCAGAAGCCCTTGGTCGGGCTGCCTTGCAGCCCAACCGCTGCCATGCATTTGTGGGGGCTAAGGCCCGTTAGTACCCCCCTACTTTGGCTTTCTATGAATTTGCTGCTTCAGGCACACACTTCAACTAAAAGCTGTTGCTGTGAAAGGGTTAATACAGGGTGCCCCGTCAATTAGCTGAACCAAGCAAGCAGCACTCATCTCGTCATCTGCACGGCATGTGAAGTGTCTCCAGGTGTGTTTTACTTTCCACGAAAAATACCAACAGCTTCCTCACTTAATACATGCACCTCATTTTTGGGGGATTATTTTGGTAGAAAAGCTGAATATTGTATATGAGAAATATGTCATTATTGGTGTTATAAAGAAATGAGAACACACAACAGTTATACATGTGACAAAATACCATCAACAACATTTGTTTCTATTAACATATGGAAAGGGGGCACAAAATAACATTTTTAAAACTTTAGGGTAGATTAAGTACTATTGAAGTAAAGACTATATAGTCTAAATAGTTTTTTTTCTTAAAAGGAATGAATAAAAGCTCCCTCAAGTTTCCCAAATATATATTTCCATAATAGAAAATTAAGAAGTTGAGAGACATTGAATTCAAGAAACAATATCTCTCAAGTTGGAAAATAATTTTTAAAATGAGCACTACTAGAGAGCTAAAGAGAAAGAAAAGGTGTCATAGTGAAAAATAGAAAAGAAATTTCCATAAAAGACTAATTAAAACTTCAACAGTCAACTTTAGAAAAGTAGAGAAAATGAGGTAGGCGCAGGGGGGAAAAAATGAAACCACCCTACTGAAAAAAAAACCCTTCCAATACCTGTTCTTAATTTACAAATGGTTCTAGAAAATTTGTTAGCATTTTTAAATGACATAATAGCTGAAAATACAGTGAATTTTGTTTTATTATTAGTCTTGCACCAAAGGTTTGATAGAGTGCTATCTCCACTGAGATTTAATATCACTATGTACTGGAATATTTGAGTACATAAGATGTCAATATGATACATAGCTGTAAATGTGGAATTCATGAGAACAATTCTACTATGTGAGTTTCAGTCTTTTCCCTTCTATTTTATTTCTTTATAAGTTTCGTCATATTTTTCTAAGCAATGTTTAAGATTGATAGCCAAGAATATAAAAGTATGCACTTTACTGTAGCCTAATAACAGGTATTTGTTTAGTTTTGCCTTAAAGTGAAATATTCCTCCTGAGATCAACTTTTAAGGGAATTTACTCATTTGCTAAACAAACTCCTATTGGAATGTATGTTTTACACACTTTTATTAATAGAAAAGAACAGGCACATCAGCAAGGTCCTAGTGGCTTTTTTATTCATTAGAAACTCTTACCATGTCTTGAGCTGGATGACACATTGGCGACCATGGCTTCGTATAGACATTTAGTTTCTCCTAGGAGCATTGCTGCTGTCCTAGGAGAAACCCTGAGTGTACATATGTTTAGGCTTTTTCTCCCAGAGTAAAAATTGTAAAAAAACTTGATAACAACATTGGTTAAATCACTCCCAGGAGAGTTCTCATTTGGAGAATGAAAGCTGCGTGACTGTCTTGTCAGGGTTTGGCACAAGGTCAACTAATTGTGATCCTGGTCCTGACTATCAGACAAAGAGTGGTTTAGCAATCTAGCAGCATTGATCACGCTGCTATCTGAAGCTAAAGTCCAACTCATCCTTTTTCTCATGTAGATTGGAAGGGGATGTCATGCTACATTCCATATTAATTATTTTAAATGGATACACTGCATATTTTATATGGGCTTTCATTAGGAGGGTGTGTCATTCTTAAGAGAAGGCTCAGTGGGGGAAGTGAAAAGGGAGAAAAGAAAGGACTATGGATATGGATCATAGCTACATCTATGAAAATTTACAATTGGCTCACAGAAAGAAAATACCACTGGTAGAGTGTTTTTTCACTTCTCATCCAGATGGTTTTTAAGCTTTCAACTTTTCACAGCACACTACACTAACTGCTAGCTTACAGGTTAGACACTAACCCACCTTTTCTTCAGCACTTCTTTTGAAGTTAGTCCTTCAAGAGGGCAGAGGTAGGTGGGACCTTGAGAAAAAAAAGAAAGAGCTGGTGCATATGTGTCTCAGTGAGATGACTGCTGCCCTACATAGGAGAGAGCCCCATGGTCAAGCATTTTTCATTTAAAGCAAGTTGTTTGTAGCTTTATTTATTAAAATGTGAGGCATTTATTTGATAAATATGCTTTTCAATGTTAGGTTATCATCAGCAAATCCTACTATAAACTATCAAGTAGCTTTAACAAAATAAAAGCAAACAAAAAACCCCATTACCTCTAATTCCAACAATTCAGAATACTGACCATAGAGGTTTTGAACTCTCTGATAGGACTCTTACTGTTTCCTTCCTTATTAGTAGAGCCTGATCTTTCTGATCACTGAGCATATTCAAGCCACCCCGTGTACAGGTCTAATCTTCTGAGAAAGTCCTGATGATGAGGGCATATCCTGGACTGTAGGAGATACAGGTTGGAATTCTTGCTCTGAATTAGGTAGAATATGGATTTAAACCTGTATTTCCTCAGCCTAATGGGTGAATAATTTGATGAGGTGGCACACTGCTAAGGAAATAGATTTTGCCAAAGATAGTGAGGCTTTGACACTGAAAAGTTCATTTTAAATATATGTTTATTTGCATATATTATGCATATCCTAATTAAAAATTAAACAGGCTGAAAGCATAGTATATAATGGAGATTGTAACAGTACTGGATGATTCAGGAGGTTGGTTATGGGCTACAGAAATGGTGTCTCAGATTCTAATCCATATCAGAATCCTGATTAAAAATGCACTGAAGTTAATGGGCATCTTCCTATTGAATTCAGCATGCTTAGATGAGAGTCAGATCAGTAGAGGAGAAAAGTTCTCATAGTCAGTGATGGGTATATTTCTTTGGTTAAAGTTGCATAAACTGTTTGTATACTTAGTTCTCTGTCTGTGGCAATATACTGCTTCTCAGCAAATTGTAGACAGATCAACTCGTTTTTAACATTGCTCTCCTCTTCCATACTCCCAATCTCCATATTATTATTATCGCTGCTGTTCTTTACTGTTCATTTATTTGATTTGTATTACCATAGAATCTAGAATTCCAAGTCAGAGACCAGGACCCTGTTGTGATTGGTCCCATAAAAACACAGAACAAAAAGATCGTTCATGCCCTAGAGACAAATGAAGACAGATGAATGCAGACAGGTGGGGGCGTAAGAGGAAACAGTGAAACAATACTGGTCAGCATGATAGATAGTAGTCATAGTACATCAGCAGCCTACACTTTATCAAGTGGTTTGTTTTGTTTTGCTGTTGTGTTTGTGGTAGAAAATAGAGTAACGGGAAGGAAGGATTTGAAGAACAATATTGAGATAATTCTTTGGATGTCTGTGGAGAGTCCCTCTTGTGTGCGAGGAGGCACCACCGGAGAAAGCACTGTGGCGGTCTTCACCTTAACACATAGAGAACTTGCATTTAACACTTACATTACTTATTTACTCAAATATAAAATGACCCTTAATTCAAGATAATCCTCCAATAATTAGATTATATATATGGAAAATGTATACATTTGTTGATTTCTCAGGTATCTAATCTAAGTATCAGAGTGTTGCCTTGAATGTGTGCCCCACCCCTACTGCTATAGCAGAGAAAGCAGTAGCTGGGGGGTTGGGTGACTGAGGCAGTCAGGCAGTGCCCTTGCCCTCTGCCCACCTCATTTTCCCCTGCAGCATTCCT